CCATTCTATATGCATCCGAAGAAGTGGGCTATAGTCCACGAAAGCTTATGCTCTAATAAATTTGTTAGTCTCTAAGGTGCCACAAGTCCTCCTGTTCTTCTTTTTGCGGATACAGACTAACACGGCTGCTACTCTGAAACCTTTCAAAATGGTTTAGGTGACAACACAGAATGTAGAGTCCTCTCCTACATCACTTGTTCAGCTCCAACCCATACCTGATGACTGTTTAATAGCTTAACTGAAAGTACTTTGTGTGCTCTCTCATACCACAAACATCTGTCACTACAGTAGACTAGCAACCATTACTGGCAATTTTAGCTGACATAGCTATAGAAAGTAATTCATTTAGAATAGTTTGGGCCTCCTTTGAAACTTTTGCTTGATATATTAAGACAATAATACAGAAATTCATAAAAACTGCAGAACAGTCTCCCATGGGAAGTGGAGGAAGCCCCACTGCTTGAGAAGTTTATAACTAGACAGAGAAAAAAGCCCAGAGAAGTACTGTAGGGAATGATCCAATAGGTCTCTCCCAACTTCTGCAGTCTCTAACTTCTAAATTCACATTTTTGTGCTCTCAAAAGGAGATGTGTACATAGCTCCTTCATTCATAGTACAGTTTTACAGAAGAGTGGAATGCAAGATTTCCTACAATGGTCTGCCAAAGTGCCTCATTTCTGAGGAGAGATTATTTCTACAGGTTAGAGGATAGCTTGGTCTCAAAGTTCAGCACTCTCAAAAAGCACTAAATTCATAATTTTTTTTAGTTAGAGATAGAAAAGTTCTATTACACCAATTAGTGTGCTCATAACTCTTTCTTCAAAAATAATTAAGGATGAAGTCAAATTAAAAATAAACACTGAAAGATGTGTTCCCATCAGGACTTGGACCGATGCAAACAGTTCAGACTACATACCAGTATGTGTGCCATATTGCACAAGACTAACTACACTGGATGCTAATGCAGCTTTTAAGGGTAACCAAGGGTGCACCAGACTGCCACTGTGACATGACGACCAAGCCCACACAACATTAGTGAGGCATTACGTACTAACTACCGATGACAAAAAAAATATGATGCGGAGTTGAGGGTGGGAGGGGGGTAGAGTCAAGATCTCTAGAAAGCCTATACTCAATAAAAACCAGCTTGAGCAAATATTTTAAAGGATCTGCAAGATTTCCAGTACAATTTTGAAAAAGACTTCTGTCTACTGGTTAACTAATGATTCCTAGTTTCCTGTGTGGTTATTTAAATCAAGTTTCACCATATGTCCATATTACGCTTCCCCACCCCCATTGCCATTAATGCTTGCCTCAATGCTGCATTCTCTAAAGCCGATTAACTACACCCAGTTTTTGATTCCCACCCTCGCTCCCTCCCACGGCGAGTGGCACACTCTTCTACATGCACACACAAAACCCAGGCAGAGAGGAAGCACCGCTCCGAGGAGCTTGGTTTTCGAACCCAGCATAACCCGTGTCACCTGTTTGCAAGGGAAGGAAGCGCCCCCCTCACGCCCTTTCCCAACACACACACACACCCACCCACCCACCCACGCGCGATGCTGCAGGGCCCCCGCAGCGCACGCGCTACCTTCCGTCCCAATTCCAAACCCACCCCCCGATTCAGTGCCTGGCTCACACCCCCCCCCGCGAAGCATGCACAGGCGCCCCAGAACCCGCCCCCTCGAGCCCGCCTCGCCAGGAGGCTCCCCCTCACACCCGGCGCCCGGCCCCCTTATATCACCGCCCGCCCCCACAGGCCCCGCGGGGGCCCGGCCGGCCCCCTCTCTCACCATGGTACAGATAGAGGCGATTTTGGAGACCGTCATTAGGATTTCCATCCGCCCAGCGCCATCTTCCGCCCACTCACAGCGCCGAGCCGGGGAGGGAGCAGCCCCCGCCGCCCCCACCAGCCGCTGCAGCGGGACACGTACCCCGCGCGCCAGACCCGCCGCCCCAACCGCCGGGCGCGCGGCTCTAAGAGAGGCAGAATCTAGAGCGCGAGACCCTCACCCTCCTGCCCCGCGCGCGGGCACAGATCGCGAGCCCACCCCCGCCTTACGCCGGCTCCCTCTGGGCCCTAGCGCCGCCCAATGCCTGCCCTCTGCTTCCTCTCGGGCCTTTGCGCCGCCCACTCCAAGCGGCTCCCAGCACCGGGCTATAGCGCCGCCACACATTGGCTCGCCCGGGCCGTAGCGGCGCCACGTCGGCTCTCTCCGGGCCCTAGCTCCAGTGTGCCATGCAGTCCCCTCCCCACCAGCCCGGCTGCCCCCGGAGCACTGCCGGCATGTGGGGCCCTCCACCACCCGCGCCTGAAGGGGATGGACCCACGCGCAGGGTGGCAGCGCAGCATATGGCAGCAGTGGCCTGCCGCACCTGGCCGAAGTCAGGCACCATATGCCTGGCTTACAAAGCAGGGGCCCGTGGAGCCTGATCAGTGGCGGGCTCTTGCTGTTTGCCGCCTCTTCGTTGCTTGAGGGGGACAGAAACTTTATTCTCCTCACAGGGGAGAGTGGTAGGCAAACCCTGGAGCCCCACTGTTGAGAACAACACCCCAAAGCGCAGACAGTCAGGCGAGCTGGGAAGTCAGTGCCATGGTCCTGCCCTGCCACTATTAAACAGTCGCAAAGTTCCAGAACTGGTAAGACATTGCGGTACCATTCACAAACAGGAGCCTGATTTGCCACTGTGTTACTTCAGAGTTAAACAGCTGTAATGCCCGCCGTTGACCTGGATGGGGTTACACCTGCATTGTATAATCCACACACTTCCTGGGTGTAGTGTTCTGTCCCATCTCGTGGCACTAAGGCTTGGTCTACACTGGGGGAGGGAGGGAATCGATCTAAGTTACGCAATTTCAGCTACGTGAATAACGTAGTTGAAGTCAATGTACTTAGATCTGCTCACCGCAGAGTCTTCACTGCAGTAAGTCGACGGCTGCCACTCCCCCATCGACTCCGCATGTGCCTCTGGTGCCGGTGGAGTACAGGGGTCGACAGAAGAGCAGTCGGGTCAATTTATCCCGTCTAGACTAGACGGGATAAATAGACCCCCATGAATTGATTGCTGCCTGCCGATCCGATGGGCAGTATAGACATACCCTGAGACCACCTAGAGAGAGAAGATGAGTTTGCTGTACTGCCTTAGCTAACAGCCACTTGGCTTTTAGCTCATGAGTAGAGGCTCATGCACTAAGCTCCAAAGGACCCTGGTTTGATCCTGCCCGTCGACGACCGGGGTCTGTTGGTGTTACAAGTGGGGGCTTGTCTGGGATTTCCACTGGGAAGACTCTGAAGCTCTGAACACACTTCCTCAGCTAGGGGAAATATGTAACCTGCACACCTCCTGGGTGTGGTGTTCTGTCCCATGTAGTGGCACCACTTAGAGAGAGTTAAATGAGTCTCCTCTACAGCCTTAGCTAACAGCCAGTTGGCTTTTAGCTCATGCAGTAGAGCAGGGGGGCCAACCTGTGGCTCTTCAGAAGTTAATATGCAGCTCCTTGTATAGGCACAGACTCCAGGGCTGGAGCTACAGGCACCAACTTTCCAATGTGCCAGGGGGTGCTCACTGCTCAACCCCTGGCTCTGCCACAGGCCCTACCCCCAGTCCACCCCTTCCTGCCCCCTCCATTGAGCCCGAAGTGTCCTCACTCCTCTCCCCCCCACCCCGAGTTTCCTGCACACCATGAAAAAGCTGATTGGGAGGTGCAGGGAGGCGCTGATCGGTGGCGCTGCTGGTGGGTGGGACTAGGGTGTGGGGGTTGAACTAGATGACCTCCTGAGGTCTCTTCCAACCCTGATATTCTATGATTCTACGATGGGGGGGCTGCTGACATATTACTGTGGCTCTTTGGTAATGTACTTTGGTAAATTCTGGCTCCTCAGGCTCAAGTTGGCCACCCCTGCAGTAGAGGTTTATGCACTAAGCTCCGGAGGTCCCTGGTTTCATCCCACCCACCGATGACCGGGGTCTGTCAGCGTTACAATAGCACTAGTTTTCAACCTTTTTTCATGTGCAGACCCCTAAAAAATTTCAAATGGAGGTGCAGACCCTTTTGGAAATCTTAGGCATAGTCTGCAGGCCCCCTGGGGTCCCTGGACCACTGGTTGAAAACCACTACGCTGGAGTAACACAGGGTAGATCAGCGCCCCTTGTGTTCATTCACAGACATGTATCTGTACAAATTTTCAAACCACCACCACCACCTCTCCTGGAGGTAGGGTTGCCAATTTCAGTTGGATGTATTCCTGAAGATGTCATCACATGACATAATCTTTAATTCCTGGAGACTCCAGGCCAATCCTGGAGGGTTGGCATCCCTACTTGGAGGTGGAGTCTGCATATCTGCAGGGCAAAAAGCCTGAGGCAGATGATGCTGCAACAAGCTTCAGGGCCTGATCCTGACACTGATTTCAGCATTAAAAGAGTCATTTATCGGGACACAGGAGTTCCACAGGCTAATTGTATTTCCTTTGATCAGTTTTGAATTTGCCATTCATGCTGAGGAAATTGATTGATTGTTGGGATGATGAAAAGACAAGGGGAGAAGGGATTTTTAATGAAATGTTTTTATTGTATTTTTTTAAGTGGGCAGGCAGAGTCCTCACTTAAAGTCGTCCTGGTTAACGTTGTTACGTTGCTGATCAATTAGGGAATATGCTCGTTTAAAGTTCCCCAATGCTCCCTTATAACGTCCTTTGGCAGCCTCCTGCTTTGTCCGCTGCTTGCAGGAAGAGCAGCCCATTGCAGCTAGCTGGTGGGGGCTTGGAACCAGGGTGGACCGGCAGCCCCCCATCTGCTCCCTTATCAGCTCCCCGCATCCCTAAGTTCCCTGTGCAGCAGCCGCTCAGAAGGCTATCAATTTCCGGCAGTTCAGCTGTCCCTCCCCCCATTGCCATGTGCAGCTCCTGCCCTCTGCCTTGGAGCTGCTCCTGGGAGCCTCCTGCTTGCTGTGCAGGGGAGGAGGGATAATGTCAGGGTGTCCCCCTCCCCCCTGCTCCTGACCCCCGCTTACCCCTTCTCCATATAGAGCAGGGTAGGGACAGGACAGGGCTCAGGATGGAGAGAGCTTGCTGGACACAGCTGCTATCTCAACTTCCTGATCTTTTTAAAGGCAATGTACTTAGAGTGATGTCAGCATACTTAAAGGGGCAATGCGCATCTCTCTCTCTCTCCCCCACACACAGGGTGTGTGTCTCTGTCTGCCATGCTGTCTCCCCTCCCTCCATTCGTGCTGCCTTGTAGAGTGAGGCTACATTAAAAATAATCTGTTGACTCTTGAGGGCTCAGCCGAGTGGTAGTTCATCATTTAACAGTAAGACATTCCCTGGGAAGTATCCCATCCTCTTCCACCCTCTAACTTCACCACCTCAACGAAGCTTCACAATCATCATTGCTGTGTACAGTATTACATTGTTTAAAACGTATACTGTGTGTGTGTGTGTGTATATATATATATATATATATATATAAAATATAGTTTTTTGTCTGGTG